GTGGCGAAACTTACTGATTAGATAATGTCATGAGCCACCCCCTCAATTATGTAATTACGAAGGAGCGAGTGTCTCATCACGGTACCTAACACCTAACAATACCACAGAATTCTGCTGCCTGCTACATATGGTTTTCTTTTAACTTCACCCAGAGTATAGTGTTGTAACAAAGCTAATGCATTGTCTGCATTGATGTCTAGACACACTGTGCCAGGATAAGGGGAAGGATGGCCCTTATGGTCTTAAATTTTAGCAATGATTTCTGTCATTCATTCTAGTCTGGTCTTCATTCCTCTCTTGAACAGCAGCTCAGCAGCTGGTAGTCGAGCCTAGTTTACCACTAGCCGTAAAATCCCCCAAAATTTTGACCAATAAGTCTAAAAATTGATAATAAAATAAGAGAAAAAGGTATAAAAATTGAAAAATTCAACAGTAAATTGTAAAAAACCATTAACAAAAGAGGAAATTGTGGCTAGAGCCACAACTCACCATTTTGTCAGTATCAAAGATCTTTTAATAGGTCTTAAAAATCTTCAAAGACTTTATGTCAGCTGCACATTCTGTCCTGGTGCCAAAAAAAAGCAGTTGGCCCAGGCCCTTTTAGAGTTGCGATTGTGGAATCATATTCAGCACACAAGAAGTGTGCGCTTTTTGTAGGATGAGTTGACAAATATTTTGACACCTCCTTGTATAAATTACTTTCAGATCTTCAGTTTCTGCACCCAGAGCGTGAGTTTAACCTAGTGTGTGAGGCAGTGATGACTGGATAGAAAGATCCATACAAAAAATAGACTTATGATGTAGCTTACTTTTAAACTGGCATGATTGTTCCTTGTTTTAAACTGCGTTTAAAAATATATTAAATGCTATTCTATATAGTTAAGTTACATTCTACATTTCATTTGGGTGGTTTACATTAGAGTCCAAGGGCCCACACAAATAAACCACTGGATTAAAAAAGAAAAAAATAGCGTAAAAAATAAAATAGTAATATTTTGTATATTATAAGCAATGTACCTTAAATCTAACAACTCTTATGAGGTGGGTTGAATAGAAGGAGTTCAGGAGTTTGCTAAGAGCACAGAAAAGGTACATGTATCTAATCCATGTTTTTCTTTTCATTACGAACAGACAAAACCGACCTAGAAGCAAACCCTCAAGCAATGAAATATACTTCATGGTAAATTATAATTCAACTCCTAATTTCAAACTTTCATTCTTCAGACAAAGTATGAGTTGGCGATCAAATAACAACTTAGTACCAGACCCAGGGGGGTACTCACAGTATACATGATGGGTGAAGGGGGGGGGGGGTCCGACATTTTTTGGCGGGTTGAAAATTTACACCCTCAGAATTTTTTTAGGTCAAGGACTCAGCCACGCATTTTTTTAGGCCTTAATATAAAAGCATATTTTTTGGGGTTTACACATCTCTGAGCGTAATTTTTGTTGTGATCAATAGATCACAAAATGATTCATTTGAACTTTTTTTCAGCAACGTGTGAGTTCTGGAAAAAATGCTGATAATAAATCAGTATTGAAGTATTTCAGTCGCATTTTTTTGGGTAGAAAATTGTGATGCCAGGTATTTTTTTGGGGTGTAAAATTTCAGGCTCATGTCCTTTTTTTGGGTTCACAATATGAGGCTCCATCGGACCCCACATCAATGATGTATACTGCGAGTACCCTCGCTGGGGTGCCAGACGTATTTGTGATGACCAAACACATTTCAAACACCCTTAGAATACAGAAAAGCCTTGCCTACCAATCAGTGTAACATTTCTATACCTAACTTTAGTTTATATTTTTTATAGCCCCTTGGATTGAATGATAGACCTACTTTGCCTGTATTCTAGCTTCTTGGTTAACATATTCTAGTTTCTTCCCACAGCTACCTGATTACTATATTTCCAGTGAAAACATCCTAAAGATACCGACACTCATGTGGTCATGATGAAGGGGGCGTGTGTACAGTACAGGTCAGGGATAAGCAACCAAAATCACATGAAAAACATGTTACCAAAAAAGGGCACAAACGCAAGTGCATAATTATGTGCTCAGTGTAAATTGAAAATGAGCTTACACAGCAAGACCCATTTGTATGTATGAGGTAGCTTGGTCAATTGTCAATTTCTACAAATACTGCCCTCAGCTGGTCTGAGGGCAGGATATGGATATGTTCTGGAACCATACAAACAATAAAATGGGCTTGAGCAGTGAATCATAGATTCAACGCATCTTCAATTGCCGGACATAATTTTTGTACTGAAATTTCTATACTGAAACTTACAATGATTGTGAATCTAGTGTTTAATTCAAAACTGATCAAAGAAAACTGATTATCACACTAAACTGAGAACACTTTGGACCAAAATAGATTTTCTGGAATCTTGGGAATTTTCAAAACAATTATCGCAGACAAAGCAAACAAAGCAAATTTATGGCATTGCATAACACTAGCAAAAACATGCGAAAGAAACATGTTTCCACGCAAGTTTTTTAAAACACATGAATGCAAAAAATATGCATGCCCATTTTGCAGGTACATTGGTCATTTACCACTGACCTGTGAATCGTAAATTCAAAGCATCTTCAATTGCCAGAGACTTACATAATTTTTATACTGAAATTTCTATAATGAAACAATGATAGCGAATCCAGTGTTTAATTCAAAACTGATCAAAGAAAACTGATTATCACACTAAACTGAAAACATTTTGGACCAAAATGGATTTTCTAGGATCTTGGGAATCTTCAAAACAATTAACACAGACAAAGCAATCAGAGCAAATTTAAGACATTGCATAACAACAACAAAAGTGTGCAAAAAAACACGTTTCCATTCATGTTTTTGAAAACATGTGAGAGCAAAAAAAGTGCATGCCCATTTTGCATGTGTGTTAGTCACTTACCAATGACCTGTGAATCATAAATTCAAAGCATCTTCGATTGCCAGACATAAGTTCTATAATAAAATTTCTATAATGAAACCATGATTGCGAATCCAGTGCAAATACAATGAAACAATGATTGTTAATATAATGAAAAAATGATTGTGAATCCAGTGTTTAATTCAGAAGTCTGATCAAGGAAAACTAATTATCATACTAAACTGAAAACATTTTGGACCAAAATAGATTTTCTAATTTGAATAAGTGGAGCAAATTAAACAACTGATCATAAGAAGATAAATGATCTTAAGTTGCTCACCACTAATTGAAAACATAAATTTTGGGAAGGGAAAAATATCTCTCACTCCCTTAAAATTTCATGTACCAAGGAACTACAATTGATAAACTTCAAGGCTAATCAACTTGCTTGAGAAAAGTTGTTATTTAAAATATAACCAAGTTATGTTATTTACATGCGAATTTGACAGGACATCTGGGTCCCTGAGGTCATGTGCTACTTGAAACATTTTCAGTCAGAATTGTGTCCAAATGAACAAGCTGTTAGCCCTAATATTAGCTCTTTACTTGAGTATAACTCAATCAATTAAAATAGATTCATTACTCAAGGTGCCTAGATTGTTCAGGAAAAAAGATAAACAGAGAAACTTACTCATTTTTTTTTTATGTTATGCAAATTTAGATCAGTATCATTTGGCGATGGAATCTTGGGAATTTTCAAAACAATTATTGCAGACAAAGCAAACAAAGCCAATATGTGGCAGGGCATAACAATAGCAAAAACGTGCAAAAGAAACACATTTCAACTTGTGTTCTTGAAAACATGTGAACGCAAAAAAACGTGCATGCCCATTTTGCATGTGCATTGGTCACTTACCACTGACCTGTAGTGTACCTGTAGATAGCAACAGGTGGTGCCCAGCTACAAATTCACTTACTATTGATTGTGCGAGGGTAAATTATGATATCAGCACAGATAAGGGAATGTGTCACTGCGACATACCCCTTCTCCATTTGTAAATTTGTATCAGGGGTGGATCCAGATTTTTTCTTAGGAGGGGGTGCACCACTAAGGAATGGTGTAACTGACTGGTGAGGTAAACAAATTTTAAAAGCGAATTCTAAGAAGAAGGCTTCATCTCCAGGGGGGGGGG